GGCAGAGCCTTGGAGCCTTGCGATTGCAAGAGCACGCGCTTCTTCTGCCGTTTCTGCCCAAAGTAAGGGGGGCAGTAGGGATGTGTCTACCTTCTTGTTCGGCTTAAGACCAAGCGCTGCTGTCACTACTTGGTCCACACCCGGCAGCAGTGCCTGGGGGATTCAAGTGAAACATCTACAGTCTATTCGTGTAACTGAAAAAGAGAAACCAAATTAATGTTTCCTACCACACAGACATTTGCAAGGTAGGGGGCAAATATGTTTTCATTTGCATCTGCGGTCCCGGGGTCATTCCCGACATTTGCGAGTACGTTCTTCAATAGGAGGAAGATGAGCGCCTGGAAGTCGTCCATATATAATGCAGCTGCGCCAAGCGCGCGTCGAGCTGCCTTGATCCCGAGACAACCTGGATGGAAAGTATGCCTCATTCTGATAGGCAAATGTAATGAGTCAGAAACAAAACAAAATATTACGCTAAAGCTGACTGCTTTCGGGAATCTCAATGTAGACGTCACGCTTGTATAAAGCTTTGGTGGCTATCGTGCCAACGCGACCACCGTGAGATGAAAGTACCGCTGCCTGAATGTGAAGCTGTGGCCAGTTCATCGACTTCGCCCAGCTGTTGAAGGCCTGGACTCGCAACCCGAGCGGGTGCAGGAGGGTCCCATTCTGCGAAAGAACAAGATTCCAAGTTGCAGCTACGGATACCTCTTTTGGCATGCTCGACTGGTAGTTGGGCTTCGAATTTGCATCGAGCACCCCTTCGGCTTCATACACAAGCTGGCTAAGAAGCGCCTTGCGAGAACGACGGAACTGCACAGCAAGAGACACATCTCTGCTCAAACCACCATTTGATAGCGTGCGTGTATCATCCTCCATGCTCGTCGTTTGAGTTAGGGGGTGATTTGAGACGACATCCAACAAACTGGAGACTAGCGCCGGGGCATCATGTGGTGGCGGTGTGAATGCATACTCGCAGTCTGGCGAAGGTTGGCCTACGTCACTGGGTTGATTCGAGCATCAATCGCGAGGCGCTGTTGGCAGCTAGTCTCAATTGATGCAATGCAAGCTTCCATTTGTTCCATATCCATGTCGATGACCCACAAGAAATATCGCAGGTTTGGATCGATCTTGTCGAGCGATGCTTTGAAGCACGAGGGTGGCATGCTGCGCACGCCAAGAGCTTTAAGCATATCGATTCGCCTGTGAAAGATGTAGATGGTGATAAAATACATCATATGCGCATTTACCGATTCGCATGCTCATTTGAGTCATGATTGAGTGCCGGGAGAGAAATGGGCACACAATCAAAAGGGTTCACCTCCTTGGGTACGAACCCTACGCAGATTCATAATTTGCTTTGCTATTTGTATGAACATTGGATGATACTTGCATAAGACACAACTCTACGCCGCTTAGTAGACCGTGGTGCTCAACATAAATTGTCGTGGGATTGTCACCATAATCCTCAAAAAACTGCGCCCCCAGCTCACACGTACGGTCACTGAGCGTCTTAATACTAGTGGGCGTCAATTTATGGTGCTGGAGGAAAAAATCGCCAGAAGCAAATCGTCGAGTTGAGGCATGTGGGTGAGGTTTGTAGTTCACGAGATCTGCAACTGGGATCAAGTGGCGTGCACCTTTAAATGTAAGTGCGCGCGAGTCGATGATAGAAAGAGCCCATGCCCATGCTTTACTGGAAGTATGTGCCTCGATGCATGCCCCGAGATTGGAAACTTCTGATGCCCCACAGGCTTTTCGGACGGCAAGGTTGAGGCTCCCGCGGACCCCTGGAGCAGATACACCTGTCAGTCCGTGAGACTGTAGATTTGTTTCTACGAACAGGCTATCTTGCAGAGCTTCGAAGCCTGACTTACTGAACGCCTTGGGTGTCAACACGGCAGACCTTGGTAAAATGTCGAGGTATGGAGCCCATGTACTCTGTTGACCTTTTGCGCGCTCTACCAACAATTGGAACGCAATCGCCTCGCTGTCACTTAGCAGGATATCCGCCCCAAATGATGAAGCCAGTGCGTTACCGCTATCTCCGCTAAAAAAAAGCTCTTGTGGTACATCTAGAACGACAGATTCAGCCAAGACACGCTCCTCGCATCTCAAACCCCGACCCATATCCGCGAAGTCCGCCAACTGCAGCCCATGAGCGGTCCCTCCCATGGAGCGCAACCAGGCAATCACCTCGGATGCCAGACAGCTCGATCGAAGACACAACAATAGCGCATGCCATGGCAACTTATGATTTTGCATCATATTTCGAATCAGTCATTCCAAGCTAAAATTGCATTTACGGCAGTACAATATGTTTCCGGTAGCGAGTTAGTGGGTTTAGACCATCTATCATCATCCAGCTAAATAAAACTGCTGGCTGTGGTGGCTCAGGAGGAAGATTCTCCTGTATCTGCCCTACTGTCCTTATTTTCCCTTTCTTCCTATCATTGCAGTCTCATATCCTCATGAGGCTGAGTTCAGTCCCAAGGTCCCCATTTTAGTATGGGGGTCCTTCCTCCTTTCCCCAATTTCCCTCTCTTTCTCTCTTTCTATTCCACGTTAAGACAGTATAGAGTGGCCCTCTCCTGTTGGGAGTCAGGGCTGCTTAGCAGCCCCATCTCACTTTTCCATTCTCCGTCTAGGTCAGGAACACTGCCATTTCCCCTCAAGGGTTATGGGCCCACAGCGTTAAGCCTGACCCAAGACTCTTCACCTTCGTTACATGGTAGGTTAGCTCACTACGGCGGAACTTCAGAAAATTCGCTTAACAGGCCAACACTTTAAGAATCTCTTCTCGTTAACGAGATAGTAAACTCCGACACGGGGATGCCGGTCCGCAAGAATACTCCCCTTAGCCTGAGCATAAGCCGTGGAGAATTAAAGTACGAGGGGAGAGGGGACTC